CACACACACACACACACACACACACACACATACACACATGCACCCGCGCTCACAGACACACACACACACTCACTCACACACACCCCTCGCACACACACACATGCATGAACATACTCTCAGGTGTCCTTATCACATTTGAATTGCGTTTTGTTCTAGAGTTAATTAACTATTCGAACAACTTGAGAGAGGGAGTTGTTTAATTTTCGATCAGTGTGAACTGTGATCTGACATGTTTATGTGAAAGAAGCTTCAAGGAGGAAAATTGTGTGCAAGCGAACAACACTCTGTCGTTAATAGTGGCAACAACTTGAAAAAACGGACAGGCAATCGCGGGCGGTCATTGCTCGACGGAATTGGTCAGTATGCAGTGCACCCTTGAATGAAGGTGGTTAAAAAAAGTGGAAGCGAGCATCCATCTGATTGAACCACTGGCGAGAGGCAGCTGAGGACGTCGGCGTTGTTGTGTGAGAACAACAGGGTGTGAAGATTTTTTTTCTTTTCTTTTCGGAAAAATGGATAGGAGGGGTGATGCACGAAAGGGGGAGGGAGGGATCATGGAAGGGCGCGGTTGCGTCAAACAGCTATCACATACCCCTGCTTGAGAGAGGAAACCCTTGCTTGACCGCCTCCCTCAAGAAAGGGAAGTGGGAGGGAGGGGGGGTCGAGCAAGGGTCCAGGAATTGCAATGGACAGAGGGGACCCTTGCTTTACCGCCTTGATGACCGGACCCTTCGCTTTTTGACTGGCCTCCCTTTGTACACCCTCTCGAACCATGTATAGGCTGCCACACGCCGAATGTCGCTGCTGCTGCGACCCTTACCACCGATGTGGGCTTGGAAGCAAGGTGGGTTGGTCATCAACAAGGTTTGAACCTGTGATCTTTCGTTGGTTTAGGCCCTTTAGGGTTTTTGGAGTGTTGATTTCATCCCAACAGAGGGGTGAGGGGCGCGGGCAATTCCACAATCATTCAAGCTTGTTGATGCTGAATGACACTGTTGAAAAGCTCACCGTTGGAATAATCCTTTGCAGGTTAAGAGTTCGATTCCTGTACTGGGGTTGAATTCAGGGGGGTTCTAGGATTTAGTAGGGTTTTTTTCTTTTTTTTTTCTTTCTTTTTTTTTTTTTGATATTCAGGGTTTTAGGATTTTTGTAGGGTTGAATTCAGGGTTGAAGAGTTTAGTAGATTTGAATTCCTTCAGAAGTTTGGATCCTGTCTCAAAAAATTGAGTTGCAAAGGATCGTGTTTTGGTGATAGAGCTTTATCATTACCGATTCATTTTTTTTATTTTTTTTTTAAATTTAACATTTTTTAATTTTTTTTTACAATTTTTTTAGCCGTGTTTCTTTTTCGTGCTGAGATATAGCGAGACGTTTATTCTCTTCTGCTGCGTCGTGTCGAATATTTGCTCGACTGTTTTGGGTCTTGAGTCTTGAGCGAGTTGCATTGTTAGCTCATTGCGGGATTGGGCGACATCGACCTTTGCAAAAGTCACAGGTTCAAACCCTATAGGAAAGTGGCAATTTTTTTTTTTTTTTTTTTTTTTTTCCGGGAGAGTGGCCAGGCGTTTAAGAGCGACAGACTGCGAATGTGGTGACGCTTATTATATTTCTATTTGGTTTACATTCCCCTCAGGTAACGATCGTTGCCGTTCCTGTTGCTGACTGTTTTGACTCTTGAGTGGCTTTTTTTTTCCCTTTTTTCTTTTAAAGAGAATTCAAAGCCCGATCTATTCTGAGGGGCCGCAGTCCGGTGTTGAGTGGCATTTTTTCTCTGTGGCATTTGATAAGTTTCAAAGAGAAGCCGATAAATTCATTTATGCTGTATTGCGTCGAATAGCTGTTGGCTGTTTTAAGTGAGTTGCGGTCGTAGCTCGCAGCTGGATTGACCAACAACAACCATTTGATCTCCTGAAGGTCCCAGGTTCAAATCCCGTCGAATGCTGAATTCTATCCGGGGAGAGTGGCCGAGTGTTTAAGAGCGACAGACTGTGAAAAATCTGTTGGATGTTGTTATTAAAATTTACTATTTTTATATTTGAAAAATATTGCGAAGAATTTTGATTCTGTGTGGTTTGCCCCTGTCCCTCGCGTAAGATCTGCCTCTCTGTCACCGTAATTCTGAAGTTTGTGGCTGTTCCGTAAAGGTTGGCCTTTCCCTTCCCTTCAGTAGCCTACGGTTGTGCTTCGATGTGATGCTCGCTATGCTGGTGGCAGTTTTTGAGATTATGCCTGTGCTGGCGAGTGGTGGAAGACTCTAAAGAGTCCGAAAAATCAGGTGATTGAAAACTGTAATGAACCAAGCGCAGCTCATGAAGTCTCCAACATCATTTACATGTCCATATCTTGATCATATGCTCAACTTGAGAGTGTCGTCTCATCAAAGGAAAGCATGAGAGGAGAGAGAGAGGAGAGAAAAGACACAGAAGAGGAGGAGGAGATTCCCAATGATAATCAGTAGTAC